ACTGACTGTCAGTGACAGCCAATGGCTCCCGCTTGCTGTCTCAGCCAATGAGGAGGCAGAGACCCAGAACAGCTGAGGCTGTCATTCACATAGCTGGATCTCGATGGGGCTCAGGTAAGTATTGAGAGGGGGCTGGGGGCACTGCTGCACACAGAAGGTTTTTTACCTTCATGCATAGAATGCATGAAGGTGAAAAACCTTCAGCCTTTACAACCACTTTAAGGAGTGGGCTGCCCCCCATAACACCAATGACATTTGGTCAGTGGGATTCCCCTGCTGCCAGCCGAAATGTAAAAAAAAAAAATGGCAACAATAATTATCCCTGATCCTTTGTTAGCTTCTGTCCTAATGTGAGGCAGAAAGCACTGTAATTTCCTGCCGAGATGCGGAGAGCCCGCACCGTTTTCTGCTTCTCCTTTGTACTCTTGCCGATAAGTCCTCTGTTGGTAAGATGTGGTTGGGCGGCCAGCTCAGCTTTCTGTTTTGACTACCCATGGCTCTCCTGGCGCTCTCCCCCTCGGAGAGAGGGGATTTAGGGGGGTTGTGCTAGTAGGGGGAGGTTGTGCAAGGAAGGGGGATTTAGGGGAGGTTGTGCTAGGAGGGTGGATATGGGGGGGAGGGGTGTGTGCTAGGAGGGTGGATATGGGGGGGAGGGGTGTGTGCTAGGAGGGTGGATTTGGGGGGGAGGGGTGTGTGCTAGGAGGGGGAGGTTGTGCAAGGAGGGGGATTTAGGGAGGTTGTGCAAGAAGAAGAAGAGATTTAGGGGGGTTGAACTAGGAGTGGGGGGGTTGTGCTAGGAGGGGTGATTTGGGAGGGGGTTGTTCTGGGATGCTGATTGAGGTGCTATGTTGTGCTAGGAGGGGGGATTTGTGGGGGGTGCTAGGAGGGGGATGGGGGGGAAGGGGGCTTTACAACATATGGATAACTGATCTCTGCCTCAGAGTACATTTTAGGGTTTCTTCACACCAATTTCAGTGCTGCAACGTGCAAAATCGCATGTTTTCCCATATTACACCACCCCTCTACCTTCTCTTCATAGGCGATAGGTATCGGTAATCTGTATCAGCAAGTACTTAAAAAAAAAAAAAAAAAAAAAAAAGTATCAGTACTCGTACTCTGTGTTAAAACTATGGTGTCAGTGAATCCCTAGCCAAAATCACACCTAAGCAATGCATGCGACTAGTTTCTCCATACAGCGGGCATCTTGAAACTTTTTTTTGTCTTCCTCTGGATCAACTGTAGGTATAGGATTATAAGTTTTTGTTTGAACTGGATGGAATTTTGTCTATTATTCAGCCAGACTAGCTATGTAACTATGTTTTACATGTTTAGTACTTTTTCCATGTGTCATTCCATTTTATTGCACAAAACGTATTTTCTGGTTTCTTCGTATGTATGGATTGCGTGGGTTGTTACGACACGTGGTGAAAATTTAATGTCAATAGCACCTTTTTAGAAATATATTTTCTGAGAAAAAATGGTTACGTGTTCAATACTTATTTTACCCGCTGTATCTTGTGTAGATATATAAATAACAAGTGTTCCTAATACTCTACTTTTTTCCATTATTTTTCTAAAATGTCCCAAAAATGTATGTGGTTTCTTTTCCTGGCTTAACATTTTCTCAAAAAGCTTCTAGACTTGACTTTCTGGTTAAAGTTCTCAGAGTCCTCCAGCTTTGAGCACAGTGGCCAGCTGTGCATGCAGAAACCTAATTGATAGAACCATATATTTCTTCTCTTCAGCCTGTTGGTTTTTCTCATTGCCCAGAAAAATGAAATCTCAGTTGTACCACAGATATTGTGTACAAGTTGTTTAACTTGTTTGGGGAGTACACTTTCCCAGACTTCTGCAGAACTTGCTTGCAAAACAAACTTTCCAAGTTGTAAAACCAGCTCTCCTGTCATGTAACTTAGGTATTGGGTAACATTAATGCAGTGTTTCTCAACTCCAGTCCTCATGGACCCCCAACAGGTCATGTTTTCAGGATTTCCCTCAGATGAAACAGCTGCTGTGGTAATTACTAAGGCAGTGAAACTGATCAAATCACCTGTGCAAAATAATGGAAATCCTGAAAACATGACCTGTTGGGGGTCCATGAGGACTGGAGTTGAGAAACACTACATTAATGTGACCTGTTTAGCCCTGGTTCACACTGAATAAGACTTTCAAATTTAAGTGAAATCACACAATTTCCAAGTTGCATGTCAGTGCGACTTCAGGTGCGACTTGTAAGACATCTGTGCGGCTTCATGCACAGATCTCAATGTAAGTCGCTTCAGAAATCGTCAAAAGTAGTACAGGAAATACTTTTCAAATCTGTGTGACTCTAACAAAGACTTTGTTGGAGTTGCACCGATTAGAACTGTTCTATTGCCAAGCTTAGGGTGAGACTTGTCTATTAGAAATTGTCAACTCGCATGACAATTTGCATTGGTGTGAACAGGTACTTAGGATTTTGGCCTAACTGACTTCCAGACCAGTTGATAGTTAAAATCAGAAATCGTATGTCTTACTTTTAATTCATAGGGGCTCTAACATCCTATGATAGAATGCAGCCATACTGACAACTGTTATGCAAGTTTAGGTCTAAGGGCTCGTTCACACTTCACTGTTTTACCAACGCTTGCCAAATGCCCCTATAGCGTTTGGCAAGCGTTGGTCCGGCGTTTGTGGAGCGTTTTTTAACGCTCGGCAAACACCGCATGCGCTGTTTCGCAGCAGTTGCTAGGCGTTTGCTGAGCGTTACAAACGCCTAGAATGAAGTTTGAATGGTGTTACCGCTCTGCAAACGCCCCACAACAGCGCCGCAAACACCGGACGTGCGTTTGCGGAGCGGCACCAGAGTCAAGAATAGGAGGCTTCAACGCCTCCTGACTCGTCCAGAGGCGTCCGTTTTGCCGCGACGCTACCGCTCCCGTTAGAACAGCACCATGTGCTGCAATGTGCAGAATTGCCAGAGGCTTTTGGGAAGCGGTAAAAACGCTTCCCAAACGCCTCTCTGCCGCCTGCACCTAACGCTAGTGTGAACGTAGCCTTATATTGCCAATATTGTATAAAAAAAAAATCAACCAGTTTTTTTTCGTCATGCAAATGTCCAGTTATATTATTTTTTATTTAAAGTAAACTGATGTAACCGAGGCAGAAAAAATAGATTATCCAAAATCCTATGGAATGTTTCTGCTTGCGATAGGATTGTTGCTCTTCCTGTGTGGGGTGTAAGGCCTTCTTCATGCAGGAACTCTGCTGTTCTTCATTAGTATAGAGTTTAATAGGCACCAGGCTTTATGCTTTTCTGAAGAACAGATGGGGATGAGGGGAGTTAACTGTCCTCTGGATGCCTCAAATCAGCAAGCAAGAAGATTCACCAGTTTAACACAAAAATGCTAGAATAGCAGCTTCATTCTTTTTAGTAAACCCTTGTGACTGCCTGAACTTTGTCATGTTGACTTTTACAGTCTTCTAAAACCTGTTCCCTGCTAGCATTGTAATTCAGAGATTGGTATTCACATCTGTTGGTGAAGTCACAAGACGCTCAGAGGCCAACTTTTTTGCTTTAACTTTCGTGGAGGATTGGAAATCTAGCTATAGCTGAGTTGTGATGTGGTGATTTCTGAACAACTGTTGTAGGGCAGGGTAATGGGACTTAGGCTAGATTCACACTTGAACGAATTGTAGCTCGAAGCTCCAAAAATGCTCAAACTTAAAAAATCAATTGTTCTCTATGGTGCCTGCTCATGGGATCGGGTGTGAACAGGCACCATAGAGAACAATTGATTAAGTTTGAGCATTTTTGGAGCTTCCAGCTACAAATTGCTCAAGTGTGAATCCAACCTGAATCTCTGAATAATACTTTTTTTTTTTTTTTTTTTTTTTCAAAATACCTGAAGAACAGGTCCATCTGATTGGATGCAGCAACTGGTTAATTAGACCACCAAAGTTCCATTCAGCTCTGTGTTTTTATTTTGTGGTTTTTTTTTTTTTTTGGAGGGATGTTGGACAGGAGATGGCTGACAGGGCTACCCCCTGAACAAATGTTGTCTGGTTCATCAGGAATCAAAAAATATAAGTGATACAAAATTGTGCTCTGCCAAATAAATGGTGAAACAATTGTAAATATGAGCTTCTGCAGACACATAAAGTGTGTGTTCATCACATGTGAAATAATAAACCAGTGTGTGTAGCGCTGCTCAAAAACATTAAACAAACATATAAATCCAAAAAAAACATGTAAAAAAATTCAACAATGTACGTCCAAAAGGAAAAAGAAGGAAAATCTCTTCATCAATGCCTTTCATACATGGTCACTGTGTACGCCAAGTAAACCCTTTTAATGGTATAGCTGGCTCTGTGGGTAGAATTCACAACCATACAAAGCGACCATAGTGCAGCACGTTTCTTAAAACCGCCAAGTTAATTTAAAAATGCACTCCAGTAGGAATATGTTCTTCCCACTAACTTTGTTTGAAGAGGTTTTCCTTCTTTTTCCTTTTGGACCTACATTGTTGAGTTTTTTGCTTTTTACATGTTTTTTGTATTTATATGTACGCTATGTTTAGTGTTTTTGAGCAGCGCAGCACTACACACTGGTTCATGCGGAATCGAATTGGTTAGGCTGGCCTCAAGTCATTTTGAATGACTGAAGGATAAGGTCACGCTGTGCATTGTGTCCTCTGACTAATTTCAACTGCATGCAAACTGTACATTTCTATGATTAGGTACCTAAAACACACATAGGTTTTCGGTTGTTTCTTGCATAGACTTATTGGTAGGAATTGACATCAAATAGAATTTGGTTCTCTTTCTAATAAAAAATAAATTTTAAACAAATTAGAATTGATTTTGTTATAGTGATAAGAATGCAAGAAACAATAGACCAAGACTTTATTATTCAAGGAAGGTGGCTCCTGACAGCTTGGTGATATGAGACTTGTGCAGAATGAAAATGTTCTTACATTTTAACCTCTCTATAATATATTGTTTTTCTTGTTTTCCCACAGCAAACCGTTATCTCCAGTTTAAATAACACAGAATTCCATGGCAGTGGTTACACAAGGTATGCTAAATGTCACCATCTGAAGTTTATGGTTAAGGAAGTGATCATTCAAGGCAATAAAATGACTTGTTTCGAGCAAAGATAGTAAAATCTTCTATTAACCTGCTGGTGTGACAGAAAATAAATGTTTAATTAGCTGACCCAATCAGTCCGGGGAAGTCCAAATGTACTGGATATAAAGAAAAGAAACTGAGGGCGCATCGGCCTAGTGCATTACCTTAAAAAACTTAAAAAAAAAAAAAAAAATTAAAGGAATAAAGATTGACATTATTGTCATTTGTGAGTACAATATCTAAGGCATATCATAAAAGAACAGCACTCTTCCTCAGGGCTCTGAGGAAGAGGCAAGTCCTCGAAATGTGTTAGCCTGTTGGAAGTCCGGGGTTCCCATTAAGGACAGTCATGTAGTGTGGATTGGTCAGTGCTGTTCTTTTATGATGTGCCTTTGATGTTATTGTCATTTGTGAATACCATACCTATCTTTATTCCTTTAATAAATGTTTAAGGTAATGCACTAGGCCAGTGCGCCCTCTGTTTTCTTTATATCCATGTCCATCGGATTGGCACAGAGAATCGTGATTCATCACTCCAGAGAACACATCTCCACTGCTCCAGAGTCCAGTGGCGGCGTGCTTTATACTACTTCAACCGACGCTTTACATTGCACTTGGTGATGTAAGGCTTGGATGCACCTGCTTGGCCATGGAAACCCATTCCATGAAGCTCTCTACGCACTGTTGTGCTAATCTGAAGGCCACATAAAGTTTGGAGGTCTTTAGCTATTGACTCTGCAGACAGCGATTTCTGCGCACTGTGTGCTCCAGCATGCGCTGACTCCGCTCTGTCATTTTACGTGGCCTACTTCATGGCTGAGTTGCTGCTGTTCCCAGTTGCTTCCACTTTGTTATAATACCACAAGCACTAGACCGTGAAATTTCCTTGCTACTAAATATTCCATGGACGGATTTCACAGGTGGCAACCTATCACAGTACCACGCTTGAATTCACTGAGCTCCTGAGAGCGACCCATTCTTTCACAAATGTTTGTAGATGCAGTCTACATGCCTACGTGCTTGATTTTAGCGTGTGTGTAGTTTCCCCTCTGTGTCTACAATGTGGAGTGTTTTTGACAAAGATGTTTCAATAAAGGGGATTTTTAGGAATGTATTTCACTCTCAGCTTATTGACTTCCCCTGTTGTAGTCTGAAGAGTTGTTCATGCCCCAGCATTGTTACCAGCCATAACTGCTCATGAGCACAGAGAAGCAGGAACTTTGTAGTAAATTTTCTAGGGGAAAAAGTATTTACGTTGTGATTTAAAATGCTGAAATGTATGTGGTGCACTGGGGAGGAAGTGGATGTATTTTTTTTTTGCCAAGCTTTAAACAAAACATCTACAGTGCTGTGAAAAAGTATTTGCCCCCTTCCTGATTTTTTTTTTTTTTTTTTGCATATTTGTGACACTTAAATGATTCAGATAATAAAAACAAATTTTAACACTACACAAAGATAACCCGAGTAAATACAAAATTCTTTATGTAAAAAAAATAATTGCCCCCCCCCCCCCCCCTTTTCTAAATCCTGAACAAAAAAACTGAGTTACAGTTCACTTACCACACCCAGGCCTGATTACCGCCAGACCTGATGAATCAAGCAACACAGCATTTCATTACAAAAGAAAAATATAAATCATCCAAACAAACATGTTGGTGGTAAAGTGATGGCCTAGGGCTGCTTTGCAGATTCAGGACCTGTTAAAAAAAAAAAAAAAAAATCAGGAAGGGGGCAAATACTTTAGCACAGCATGGTATGTTTTCTCAGGGTTTTTTTAAACTGCAAAAAAGGTGTATTTTATGTGTGTTTTTTGTTTTTGTAACTAGGAAGTTTGTTTTTATGCTACTTCATGCATGTTTGTGTTTTTGTTCACAGCATGGCCATCATATATGGAGTGTTTTCAGCTTCCAATCTTATAGCTCCTTCTGTTGTTGCCTTGATTGGCTGTCAACTTTCAATGTTCCTGAGTGGTTTATTTTATAGGTAAGTAACTGCTGTTGAAATGTTACAATTGCATTCAATAGAATACTAATGGTCTGTAGCTGGATCTGACATGAAATTTAGGTGTGTGTATGTCTCTGTGTCTCTTCAGGGAGTTGCTGCACTAATAGTGCTGCCAATTCCACTTTTCTCTTGGTAGTCTTTTTTTTTTTCTCATAAAATCCCAGGTGCGCTCTAGTAAAGGTTGGTGCATGCTAAACTGGGCTTCCACCTTCTCAGATGAGATGTTGTCTTGTCTCTTCCTGGATATATTTCTTAGAAGGAAGAAAGTTGTACTGTTGTTTCTGTACTATAGAGAAACTCAGACTCACACCCCAAGTGTGGCAGCTGTCAGTTAAGCAGCCAAGACAAGAAATCTGTTTCATAATGTGCTTCTAGCTGATCCTTCTGTTTTTTTAGTCCTATTTTTAACTGCATAAACTTCTATGAGTTTTGACCTCACTCTGTGCATCAAATGAAAAAAAATCTTTTGTTGGTTAGATCATGTCTGTCTGTTTGTTGCACATCTGCTAATATGCAGAATTACGGTGCATCCAGAAAGTATTTACATCGCTTAACGTTTGCCACGTTTTGTTATGTTACAGCCTTATTCCAAAATGGATTAAACTCATTTTTTTCTCAACATTCTACAAACAATCCCTCATGATGACAACGTAAAAGAAGTACGTTTTGAATCTTTGCAATTTATTAAAAATAAAAAAACATAAAAAAAACCCCCACATGTACATATGTTTTCACAGCCTTTGCCATGACACTCAAAATTGAGCTCTGGTGCATCCTGTTCCCACTGATCATCCTTGAGATGTTTCCACAACTTGATTGGAGTCCATCTGAGGGAAATTCAGTTGATTGGACATGATTAGGAAAGGCATAAACCTGTCTATATAAGGTCCCACAGTTAACAGTGCATGTCAGAGCACCAACCAAGCCATGAAGTCAAAGGAATTGCCCGTAGACCTCCGAGACAGGATTGTATTAAGGCACAGATCTGGGGAAGGGTACAGAAAAATGTCTGCAGCATTGAAGGTCCCAATGAGCACAGTGGCCTCCATCATCCGTAAATGGAAGAAGTTTGGAACCACCTGGAATCTTCCTACAGCGGGACGCCCTGCCAAAATGAGCGATCGAGGGAGAAGGGCCATAGCCAGGGAGGTAACCAAGCACCCAATGGACACTCTGAAAGAGCTCCAGTGTTTTCTCTGTGGAGAGAGGAGAACCTTCCAGAAGAACAACCATCTCTGCAGCACTCCACCAATTAGGCCTGTATGGTAAAGTGGCCAGATGGAAGCCATTAAGTAAAAGGCAAATGGCAGCCCGCCTGGAGTTTGCCAAACGGCACCTGGGGGACTCTCAGACCATGAGAAACAAAACTGGTCTGATGAAACAAAGATTTAACTCTTTGGCCTGAATGCCAAGCGTCATGTCTGGAGGAAACCAGGCACCGCTCACCACCTGGCCAATACCATCCCTACAGTGAAGCATGGTGGTGGCAGTATCATGCTGTGGGGACATTTTTCAGTGGCAAGAACTGGGAGAATGTTAGGATCGAATTAAAGCTGAATGCAGCAATGTACAGAGACATCCTTGATGAAAACCTGTTCCCAAGCGATCTGAACCTTAGACTGGGGCGACGGTTCATCTTTCAACAGGATAACAACCCTAAGCACACAGCTCACATGAGAAAGGAGTGGCTATAGGCCAACTCTGTGAATGTCTTGGAGTGGCCCAGCCAGAGCCCAGACTTGAACCCGATTGAACATCTCTGGAGAGATTAGAAAATGGCTGTGCACCAACGCTCCCCATCCAACCTGATGGAGCTTTAGAGGTACTGCAAAGAGGAATGGGAGAAATTGCCCAAACATAGGTGTGCCAAGCTTGTAGCATCATACTCAAAACGACTTGAGGCTGTAATTGGTGCTAAAGGGGCTTCAACAAAGTATTGAGCAAAGGCTGGGAATACTTATGTACATGTGTTTTTTTTTCCGCTTTCTATTTTTAATAAATTGCAAAGATTTCAAAACTAACTTCTTTCACGTTGTCATTATGGGGTATTGTTTGTTTGTAGAATGTTGAGGAAAAAATGAATTTAATCCATTTTGGTATAAGGCTGTAACATAACAAAATGTGGCAAAAGTTAAGCACTGTGAATACTTTCTGGATGCACCGTAATTTGGCCATCAATGTTACAATCTGATTTTAGATTTACTGGAAAAACTAATGTGCATGTGAGCTTTGCAGCACTCCTCTATTAGGAATGCTGACTGTAGGGACAGACCGCCCTAGCCAACCAATCTGAGTGATGAGAGATGACTGGATGCATTGGAAACTCTTGTTGTCTCTCTGCATATCAGCCTGCACTGGAAGCATCTACCCCCACCACTAACATTATTGCTGTATTGAAGCTAAAGCAAAATATACTTTTGAATATTTCCATGGTATCTTTGTGCCCAACGGTTGTCTAACGCCTTTCTCCTCACCCCCCCCCCCTAATATTGTGGCATGTATATGTATGGCTCTTTTTCTGTTTTCATAGTGTTTATCTCACGTGTTCCATTTTGAAATGGTTATAGGAAAGCATACAACTCTTCACTGCATATGGTAGAAGCCAAACAAACATGACAACATAAATTGTAATATAATAATCATACTGACTTCCTCTTCTGTTTTTTCTTTTAGTGCCTATATTGCAATGTTCATCCAGCCATACACCTGGTCATTTTACACGTTGTCTGTTTTAATTGGGATTGCTGCTGCTGGTAAGAATTGTTTGCTTTTATTCATTCTCCAAACCTAAAGTAGCCATGGCCTTAAGCAGAATCTTAACAGATTTATCAGTCTATGCTACACTGTGTGGATGGAAAAGTCTTCCACTGGGGATTTGGATACAGACGCTGTTCAGCTGACCGTTTTTCTGCACGGCTCCTTCAATTTTTTTGTTTTTTCAGTTGAAGGATATTGGGCGCAGTGGTGGTGACAGGGCCACCTGCTGATCATATTTTAGCTGGGTATTCGGAACCAGACAAAATTCGTTCAAACTTTGGTCATAAGAGTAATGCAGGGGCCTCCATGGTTTTTGAAAGTGCTAGACTTGTATGCTGATTTCTTTGCTTTTAAAGCGATTGTCTTTAGATGAACAAGCTAAAAATGCCTCTTTTAACCACTTCCAGACCGGACACTTTTACCCCCTTCCTGACCAGGGCAATTTTCAGTTTTTAGCGCTATCACACTTTGAATGACAATTGCGCGGTCATGCAACACTGTACCCAAATGAATTTTTTACCATTTTTTTGAGACAGATAAAGCTTTATTTTGGTGGTATTTATTCACCACTGGGATTTGTATTTTTTTTGCTATGTAAATGAAATTTCCAAAAATTTTGAAAAAAAGTTTTTTTTTTTTTTATAAAATTTTGCAAATAAATAATATTTCATCATAAATCTTAGCCAAAATTTATTCTGTTATCTTTTTAGTAAAAAAAAAAAAATCCAAATTAGTTTATAAGCAAAAATTATAATTTTTTAAACATTTTTTTTTACATTTTTATTTTATTTTTTTATATTATTTTTTTATTTTTATTTTTATTTTTTTTTACATACTGTCACCCTAGCAGTACAGTGTCACCATGGTGACACTGTACTACTTGTGGGGTGTGATGAAGATTTTTTTTTTTTTTTTTTTACACTGATTGTTTTACACCCATATAGGATGTAAAAGCAATCATTTCTCTTTCTCTCTGTGTGCATTCTTGCACTCATTGAGAAGTACTGAGTGAGCTGTGATTGGTCACAGCTTGTCACATGGTACAAGGCTTTTGTGAATAGCCTTGTACCATGTGACCTCTGTGATCATTCACAGATTTCACACGTAGTAAGCAATGATGTCACAAGTGACATCTTGCTTACTACTTTGCATGTGATCACTGATTGGCCAATCAGTGATCACATGATCGGGACCTCGTACAGAGGTCCCGTCCGACGATCGGTGTTTCACTGTGTCCGGAGGACACAGCGGGCACCGGATCGCGGTGCTGCGCGCTCCCAGGGAGCGCGCACAAGCAGGGTGCGGGGAGGCCGTTTATAGACTGCCACCTGACCCTGCAGTGCCACCGTCTGGCCGTTTATATACAACGGCCGGACGGGAAGTGGTTAAAGAAAAGGCTCAATATTTACCAATTTTTTGCTACCTTGAAGGTCCAAGCTGAGTGAAAATCTCCTATATACCACAAAATTCTATGTGTAACTGATGGCCTGGTCGATTGCTGCACTCTGAGGATTCTCCTGTCAGTTTCTATATCACTAATCTTTTCTCTAGTGATGCAGGGGCTGCAGAATTGAGCCACTGAGAGCAGAGAAGGACCAGGCATCATACACACGTGAAAATTTTGCTTAGAGGCTGCTTAATGCCATCATCTTGAATGTGATGGTCGCAGACTCAGAGCTAGGTTATACAGTGCCTCCAAAACATAAATGTATTTTATTGGGTTTTTATGTAATAGACCAACACAAAGTGGCACATAATTGTGAAGAGGAAGGAAAATGATAAATGGTTTTAAAAATGTTTTACAAATAAATATCTGAAAAGTGTGGTGTGCATTTGTATTCAGCCCCCTTTACTCTGATACACCTATCTAAAATCTAGTGGAACCAATTGCCTTCAGAAGTCACCTAATTAGTAAATAGGGTCCACCTGTGTGTCATTTAATCTCTGTATAATAAAAGCTGTTTTGTGAAGCCCTCAGAGGTTTGTTGGAGAACATTAGAGAACAAAAAGCATCATGAAGGCCAAGGAACACACCAGACAGATCATGGATAAAGTTGTGTAGAAGTTTAAAGCAGGGTTGGGTTATAAAAAAAAAAAAAAAAATAGCCAAAGCTTTGAACATCTCACGGAGCACTGTTCAATCCATCATCCGAAAATGGAAAGCGTATGGCACAACTGCAAACCTACCAAGACATGGCTGTCCATCTAAACTGACACGCCGGGGAAGGAGAGCATTAATCAGAGAAGCAGCAAAGAGGCCCATTGTAGCTCTGGAGGAGCTGCACAGATCCACAGCTCAGGTGGGAGAATCTGTCTACAGGACAACTATTAGTCATGCACTCCTCAAATCTGGCCTTTATGGAAGCGTGGCAAGAAGAAAGCCATTGTTGAAAGTAAACCATAAGCTGGTGTTGGTCCACTGTGCTTCATTAAGTCCAGGGTCAATGCAGCCGTCTACCAGGAGATTTTGTAGCACTTCATGCTTCCTTCCACAGAAGAGCTTTATGGGGATGCTGACTTCATTTTCCAGCAGCACCTGCCCACACTGCCAAAAGCACCAAAACCTGGTTCAATGACCGTGGGATTACTGTGCTTGATTGGCCAGCAAACTCGCCTGACCTGAACCCCATAGAGAATCTATAGGGCATTGCCAAGAGAAAGATGAGAGACATGAGACCGAACAATGCAGAAGAGCTGAAGGCCGCTATTGAAGCATCCTGGTCTTCCATAACACCTCAGCAGTGCCACAGGCTGATAGCTTCCATGCCACGCCATACTGAGGCAGTAATTGCTGCAAAAGGGGCCCAAACCAAGTACTGAGTACATATGCATGCTTATACTTTTCAGAGGTCTGATATTGTTCTATGTACAATCCTTGTTTTATTGATTGCATGTAATATTCTAATTTTCTGAGATTGTGAATTTGGGGTTTACATGAGCTGTAAGCCATAATCATTACAATTATGACAAATCACGGCTTGAACTATCTCTTGCATTGCATTTAATGAGTCTATCGCATGTATTACCTTTTAAGTTGCATTACTGAAATAAATGAACTTTTGCACGATATTCTAATTTTTCGAGTTTCACCTGTACGTTTGCAACTGAGTAAGCCACCACTCAAGATTTCTGGCCACACAGGTGGCTGACAGAGCTTGCTTTTGAGCTGATTCAAGTAGAGTCCCAAGCTCTCCGGAGCAAAATGTCCCAAGTTGAGCCCAATTTGGCAGCACAAACGGCACACTTCCTTCTGGGTGCCTGGGTCTTGTCTTACGCTTTAACCTAAAGAAACCAAAGATCCAACTAAGCTCAGGTTCCCGCCACTCCAGTACCGCCTGTACTGGGGGACAAAAATAAGAAGTGTGCCCCACCATCATCTGAGACTCGCACAATAGCCCTAAGAGACTGGGGAACCACCCCCAGGATCAGTGAGAGGGAAAACAGTCTCCAAGCCTACCTGAGAGGAGCCAGTGCCAGAGCAACCAGTCTGCCTGCTGGGGGAGGGGGGTGGCCCAGATGCTGTTCTGCCTGATGCCCATGCTGGGTGTAGCCCACACAGGACCGTACCGCCACTTGTGCACCACAATGACCGGAACCACAGTCCCCACGCCCATTGATGTCACTGGGCTTACATTGTAACTTTCCGCAAACGCTTGGAGTTTCCGCCCCAACCAGAGTAGAGCTGACCTTTTCTACGCCTCAAAGGGCTGAATCCCCCCGGTGGTGGCTGCCGGACACCCATCACGTCTTCTTTGCGTAAAGCTAAGTGTTCCAACCTAAATATAACCAGTACTCTACCTACAAACACCAGCACATGAGTTTTTCTTTACTAGACAACCTACTCTCTGGAGGAAATGCTAATGAAAAGGGCTAGGAAAATACGTGTTACCTGTCCCCAGAGTGAGTTCTACGCCTCAAGGGCTGTCCTGGAACACGTTCTGCGAAAGCAAATTGTTCACAACCTACAATGAATCTATAAAAAATACCGTGTGTGTGTCTTTTCCTACTTCAAAATATTTTGCTGCTTCCTGACTGCCCCACGCAGATATACTGCTACAGGGCGGCTGCTGTGCTCTGGCTCACGTATAGAATACGTGATCACTGCTTCCGGGTAGGGCGCACACGTCCACCTGCCAATCAGACTGTGCTGTGATTCTTTCATCAGTGAGTCCTGGCCAATGACTATTTGCTGGGACCCACTGATCGGCTCAGTGATTCACGCAACAGAGCTCTGTGATTGTAAACAACACAGAGCTATGTACACTGATAGGCAGTCTTGCTGTGTTTTTTTTTTTTCCCTGCTAAGCAGGGAAAAAAATTTAGATTCCAGATTAGCAAAAGCACCACATATTACACACATTAACACTTGCTAGGCACAGTTAACCCTTTTACTGCACCTAGATGTTAAAGTGTTATTTAAACCTGTGATTTTAATTAAAATAAAAGCAAAAATGACAAACATGTCAAATTTTGCTTTGTGCAATGCTTTTGCTCAGAGTAGCCATGATCCTCCTCCTTCTGGGATATCCCCGCTGGTGCTCCTGGTCCCTCCTCTTTGGTGGGTGCCCCCATGTAAAGCCGCTTTCCATGAGGGCAACTGCTCGTTCCCAAGCCACCCTGTCTGCATCCATTGACACAGAGAGGGCAGCTCGTCCGTGCCCCCACTCCAATGTCACAGCATTTGATTGATATTCAATATCAATCTGCCCAATGAGGAGGGAGACAGCGGCTAGAGCCACTGCTGTCTTGCACATCGCTGGATCTCATCGAGCTCAAGTAAGAAAAATTAATTTTAGAACCACTTTAACCCGTTCCCAGCCGGTGTCATTAGTACAGTGACCGTGTATAGTATTAGCACTGATCACTGTATTGGTGTCACTATTGATGTCAGTGTACACCCCAGCTAGTGTCAGATTGCTCACTTCACTATTACATTCCCACTATAAGTTGTTGATCCACTGCCATTACTAGTATAAAGAAATAAAAAAGTGAAATCTGATTCATGCTGTCTACTTTCATAAATACTTTCCATGCATCATGTATTTGTGGACTGCTAGAAACTATATTTCACAGCATGGTCCATATTATGTATTTTCATAATTTATTATTATTTCCTTTCCTAGTGCTCTGGACTGCTCAAGGCACCTGTCTGACTATGAACTCCGATGACAAAACCATTGGCCGGAATAGTGGTATCTTCTGGGGCTCTGCTGCAGTTTAGGTAATCAACGACTTTTTCCTGTCTGTTTAGTGAGTATATTTGTAACAACCAAGTAGAGATCCATTTTCGTTAATATGCTAAGGTTAGGTTCCAGTGTTTTATGCTAATGTCTTGATATTGAATAGATTCTAGCAAGTTGTCATTTTGTTTTTTACAGTATGCTTTTTGGAAACCTCTATATCTACTTTGCATGGAAAGGAGAAGCTAACATATCAGGTATACTTTGTTTTAATTTATGGTATGATGAGCACCTCTTGTGACTCACTGAATGAAGCCTGTTGTGTGGTGAAACGGACAAACTATTTCTGCGTTGCTGCAGTATCTTCCAGAAGTGAGTACACCCCTCACATTTTTGTAAATATTTTATTCTATCTTTTTATGTGACAGCACTGAAGAAATGACACTTTGCTACAATGTGACGTAGTGAGTGTACAGCTTGTATAACAGTGTAAATTTGCTGTCCCCTCAAAATAACTCAACACACAGCCATTAATGTCTGAACTGCTGGCAACAAAAGTGAGTACACCCCTAAGTGACAATGTCCAAATTGGGCCCAATTAGCCATATTCCCTCCCCGGTGTCATGTGACTAGTTAGTGTTACAAGTTATCAGGTATGAATGGGGAGCAGGTGTGTTAAATTTGGTGTTATCGCTCTCACTCTCTCATACTGGTCACTGGAAGTTCAACATGGCGCCTCATGGCAAAGAACTCTGAGGATCTGAAAAATAGAATTGTTGCTCTACATTAAGATGGCCTTGGCTATAAGAAGATTGCCAAGACCCTTATGCTGAGCTGCAGCACGGTGGCTAAGACCATACAGCGGTTTAACAGGACAGGTCCCACTCAGAACAGGCCTCTCTGTGGTCGACCAAAGAAGTTGACTGCACGTGCTCAGCGTCATATCCAGAGGTTGTCTTTGGGAAATAGACGTATGAGTGCTGCCAGCATTGCTGCAGAGGTTGAAGGGGTGGGGGGTCAGCCTGTCAGTGCTCAGACCATACGCCGCACACTGCATCAAATTGGTCAGCATGGCTATCATCCCAGAAGGAAGCCTCTTCTAAAGATGATGTACAAGAGAGCCCGCAAACAGTTTGCTGAAGGCAAGCAGACTAAAGACATGGATTACTAGAACCATGTCCTGTGGTCTGATGAGACCAAGATAAACTTATTTGATTCAGATTATGTCAAGCGTGTGTATCGGCAACCAGGTGAGGAGGACAAAAGATGAGGTGAAAGTGGAAAATCCTAATATTCCTGCACTTAGGGGTGGGCTCTATGTCATAGGGATCACACAATGAATGTCTTGGAATATGCACTCAAAGAAGCAGTGAGTCCAAAAGTACTAATAGAGAAAAACAGAGAAAAAGAAGGCATTCTTACTCTTCCTCAGAGCCTCTTCCTCTGAGGAAGAGGCTAATCCTTGAAACTCGTCAACAATTTTGGATGTCCATCATTTTCATCACCATTCAAAAACGCAATGCGAATTGGATAGAGCGGTCTCATATGATGTGCTTATATTCATGTACTTTTGTGAGTAGAATACCTTCTTTTAAATTTAATAAACATACTTTTAAAGGTAATGCACAAGGCCGGTGTGCCCTCTGTTTTGTTTTTCTCGATGAGTACAAAAGAAGCTGAGGGTAAAAGTGATGGACTGGCCAAGCATGTCTCCAGACCTAAACCCTATTGAGCATCTGTGGGGCATACTCAAACGGAAGGTGGAGGAACGCAAGGTCTCTAACATCCACCTGCTCCGTGATGACATCATGGAGTGGAAGAGGACTCCATTGGCAACCTGTGAAGCTCTGATGAACGCCATGCCCAGGAGGGTTAAGGCAGTGCTGGAAAATAATGGTGGCCACACAAAATATTGACACTTTGGGCCCAATTTGGACATTTTCAGTTAGAGGTGTACTCACTGTTGCCAGCTGTTTAGACATTAATGGCTGTGTGTTGAGGGGACAGCAAATTTACACTGTTATACAAGCTGTACACTCACTATGTCACATTGTAGCAAAATGTCATTTCTTCAGTGTTGTCACATGAAAAGATAGAATAAAATATTTACAAAAATGAGAGGGGTGCGCTCACTTCTGTGAGATACTGTATATTATGCCCAATAGATGGCAAATTGCAAATGTATGCAGCTAAAACTTCAAACTTACTCAATGTTGTTGAAGTGAAATAGTTATGAATAAAATAAAAAAAATTATATGATGATACACCTAGCTATTGGGTGGGAAATCTCACTTTTGTCATTCACTTTGTGCCTTGCTAGTAATACGGAGTCATGTTAGAGTTTACTGAGCTTCAAAGAGAGCAAATTGTTGGTGCCAACTTAGTTGGTGCCTCTGTGACTGAAGTTAGCAATTTATTTGCCTTGTCGCGAGGTACAGTATCAAAGATTATGACGGCATATACAGTTTCCAGGAAGACATCTTCTAATAAGCATAAGCGCAGTTGACATGGTCGGCTAACCAAAAGAGACCAAAGGACATTGATTGTGACTTGGAATAAGAAAACAAGTACTGCAAAATTGACTGTAGAGCTCAATCTTGGTCTTCACAGGGTTATGTGTGTATGTATATATGTATGTGTGTGTATGCATGTACGTGTGTGTGTTATCAGTAAAATACATTAAGTTCCAAAAATGTGAATAGATGGTGAACAACAGTTTGGATAAACACAGCTCATAAATATAAAATACCCCAAAACCACCTTCCTTGAAAATACAAAATGGAGGAATCATGGCTATGCTTAATAAGCAGATTATTGAATTTGGAAGGTGGTAAAGCTCAACGCGTTTCACCAAATAGGCTTCTTCAGGGGTTCACATATGGGGGTGAGAAGAGCACTGCAAATATATAAAAAGCAATAAACTTATAATAGTCTATTGCAATTGAAAATCATTTACAACTGTTATAATAATGATTACATCCAAGTATATGAACAAGATCAAAAACATGCGATTGAAAATCTCTTACAACTTTTATAGCCATGAATGAATCCAATAACCATATTACAAACCAAAAATTATTACCTATGCTGATGACTGTCTGGCTAAATGTGGATAACCCACAGGGAGGGGGACCAGAAACAAAAATGGCTCCTAATTTTTTTAGCTTGCTCCTAGATTCCATACAAATTTGTTAAGCCCCGGTGAACAACTTCCCCACGGCTACCTCTACTCCAGCCCTAAAAATGACTGCTGTAGTCATGTGGTATTAGTGATCCTATAGAAGATCATGTAGAAACTGCTGTACTCATTCTTCCTTTATGGAGACCGGAAGAAGTCTGACAAGCTACTTGTCCTTCCCCAAGGTCTCTCAGCCTTATTCAAGTTTAAGAAGGAGTTTGTTAAAAAGTAGATTCCCTTTCTGTCGATCTGGCAGTATCCTGTCAAACCTGTTGTCCTGTTAACAAAACATTGACCATCCCAGTGGAGGATGCACCTGTCTTCAAGGATTCTACCAATTAATGTCAGAGGACCTTTTTCAGAAATTTGTTTTGACAGGCCCTGTAGTGGAACCTGTCTTACTTGTGACATTAGTCTGCCAGTCCCAAGCTCATTGGGCTAAGGCTATTAGAAGGATCTCTCTGAACTCATGCTCTGCAGCCTTGGACCACCATACAAATGGGTTCCAGGGGCTAGAATTAGAAAACAGAATTTCTCTACCAGACCCCTGCCTGGTACATTTGTTCCAATCTGACTGTCTCCGCACAAATTAGCAGATCTCCGTGCAGGTCTTCTGGAGAGAGGTGCCTCAGTCTCTTGAGGTGGAACCATTCCACGGTTCATACTCCAAACGGTTCACAGTTCCCAAATCAAAAGGGGTGTCTACCCCATCTTGGATTTTAAGGCACTAAATGGGTTAATCAGGCCCAGAAATTACACATAGAATCCACCAGATTGGTCAGTCTTTACTCATTAGTATTATTATTATACAGAATTTATATAGCGCTAACAGTTTGCACAGCGCTTTACAATATAAAGGGAGATGATTCAGCAACGATACGATGCAATACAAGGATACATTCTAGCCTTTGTGAACACCAAGGATACATGGACCTGCATGTCTCAGGTTTCTCCAGGACATCGCTTCCTTTGCTGTTCGATGGGCCCTCTAAACTTCCAGTTTGTGGGCCTGCCATTCAGCCTGTCATTTGCACCTTGCTCCTGTTAGGGTTGTGCTCCCAGGGCAATCTATATTGTGGGATAGCTAGACTACCTCCTGCTAAGAAAACATTCAGCACAAGTTTTTGCTGTCAACATATCCTGGACCATCCAGACCTTGTAGAGGTTCAGCTGGCTCCTGAACCATCAAGTCAGCAGTGGAACAGAGTTGTTGCTTGCAGTAATCTGTGTCTAATTCTAAATGAAAACAAAGTCAGTTTTTTTTTTTTTTTTTTTTTTCTGCCCCGGGGAAACTTAAAATCCTCTGCTGCCAGATTCCGATTCTTCAGTGCAGGAATTACTTGACATTTTGCTTCTGCTAGAGTTTTGGGGCTTAAGGTAGCTGCTTTCGAGGCAGCCCAATTCCACTGCAGAGCCCTACAACAAAACATCCTGTCGTCACAGGACAAGTCCATACAGTCATTAAACAGACTAATTTGCTTGTCCCTATTTGGTATCACAGGAATCCTGCTGTGGAGTCGCAGAAAATACTGAAAGCTGAAAGGCATACTTTGCATGGTGCAAGGATAGAAAATTTCATTCCTGGAAATCCTCAGTGGCACAAATCCTAGTCTATTTGCAAATGGGCTCAGATTAGCATTTGACCCTTCAGAGTCAATAGACCGGTCTCTGCTCTTATTATAATTTTTTCATTTCTACAGACCACTGTCTTCCAATTTTTTTGATCAAGAACTTTTGTACAAGGTGTCTCGCATGTGACTCTGTGGGGGTTGAGTTTGTCCTCTCATCCCTTCAAAATACTGCCTTTTCAACGAGTTTTATTTCACTTTCTGCTCTTATTTAAAAAGTTACATTTCTTGTTGCCTCCTCAGCGAGAAGAGTGTCTGGGCTGGAAACCTTTTATCCTTTGAAAAACACTTTCTGGTCCTACACAAGGAAAAAGTGGTGTTGAGGCCTAGAGCTTCCTTCCTTCCTCTGGCTCCTCACTTCAACGACGACATTGTTCTTTTAGGCCTCTATGTTGCTCCAGTACACCAGGAGGTATCCTTGCAAGTTTACTTCGCAGTCACTACTTCTATTAGTAAGATTGTCACTTTGTCATTCCTGATGGTCCTTGTAAGTAAAACCATCTTTATGTTCCATCACTTCCCAGTGGATCAGATAAGCCTTCATTCCTAGATTGTAAGCTTGAAAGAGCAGGGCCCTCGATCCCCTCATGTTTTGCATTGTATTGGTATTGTTCTGTCACATGTTCTGTCCCCCTTTGTAATGTACAGCGCTGAGCAAACTATTGGCGCTTTATAAATACTGAATAATAATTCAATTTTATGGTCTCAAGGGATTGTGTTCCACACTTTCCTATCAAGGCACATTCTGCTAGATCCATGAATCCTTTTTGGGCTTTTCGGCATTTCGGCATTTGTGGGAGTTTTTAATCCAATAATTGAAAGGGTGCCTTCATGATGAATGATTTGCAGTGTGTGCTATGTTTTCTAAAACCATTCTTGTCTACATGTTTTTGCAGCACTCTTAAAAAAAAAAAAAAAAAAAAAAAAAAAAAAGTAAAAAGAATAGAATTTGACACCTTATTCATTCAAGGAAAAGGACTAATTCTTTGAACAGGCCATCTTTTACGATTCTTCCCTTCTCTGCACATCATTACTGCTCTATTTGTCTGTAAGGGCCTTGAGCTTAAAACTCTGTGTAAGCTCCAAGTTGTTAAATGTTGGAGCTTACACAGAGACAATGGCCACCTTCTTTTCCCGACATGACGGTGTTCTGGCCTGGAGATTGCACTTCACATTGCCAAACATGGCATAATGGGAGGAAGGAAAAAAAGGTTCCTCCATGCCTGGACATAACACAGGCATTTTGAGTGTACTCGATGCACGTACTCAATGTAAACAAGGGCATTTTTAAATAAAATAAAAGGTGCTCTGACCAATCACTTAGCTAAAACGAATGGCAAAACAGCTTACTGTGGTACAGGCATGGCAGTAACACACAGTACATTTTTTTTTTTGTAAATAATACATAACTTATTTTCTTTATATCTGTCTGGAGTTCAGCTCTAATGATGTACCTCACTCTGGTTATGTCTGAGTGGTGGCAGGTTTAAATTGTTGCTTGTGTCTCGTAACTAGACTTTGGGCCCAGTCTGAACTTCTATTTTAATGTGGCTCTTATCCCAGTGTAAGATCAGAAGGAAGGGGAAGTGGGGATGATGCCTGCAGAAGCTTATTAGATTCCAGTTGCCACTTTTCTAGTCTGCATTGCAAAGTCAAACCTAATGCATGATTATTTTCTACATGCATTTCTTCCAATTTCCTGTCCTTGTTATGTTCATAAAGGAATAATGTGTTCTGACTTGCGGTTTTAAGATCACTACAAGATAAAGCTAATGGTTTGTACATTTCTTGTTTTACTGTTATTTTCCAAATTATCTTCAAAGCAGAATAAGGATTTTTAGTAAGAAAAATTGGCATTAAGCAGCTTAAAGCCAATCCAGAGAGCAGTGATGATGTACAAAGTGCAGCTACCATAGCAACCTATCTAATTTTGCCTTTCATCGGTTTAGCACAGTGAGTCTAATGAAAATCAATTCTAATTGGGTAACAAGGGTTCCTGCAACTGCGGTTACCTTGTCTTACTAACAGCCTGTAATGAAAGCTGCTTTCACAGCCAATCCAATAACAATTCAAATGGTGTCCAGTGTTTTGAGAAAGTTTTTAAAGGACAACTGTACCTTTTGGTGCTAGAACACAGGAGCAGAGTTGGGAATTGTGGCAGGGAGATCTCATAGAGGAAGCCAGGTGCTGCCATCTATAACTAAAATTCCAGTTTTTAGTGGACTGAGCCTTTAAGGATTAACATTTGTTTTGTGTTTTCTTTAGACACGCTTTTCTATTAAAGCTACATGCACACATCTGTAAGAATTTTATGGCTCATATAGGAATGTTTTTTTTTCTGGGTCTAAAGTTCCTGTGTAAATAAATAAAATGCTTGCCTCTAAATACTTTTTATAAAAATGTAATACTGTATATTTCAGTTTAGGTGTGGTAGATTTTATTCTCGGCTACATGGAAACAATGTAGCTGATAAGAATGCACCACTGGCATAGAGCACAGCGGCTTGTGTGCAGCTCCTTTAGTGCATACGCTCGAAACCATTGATCTCTGTGTTCCCTGGAAAAAGTAGTTCACATGGCTAGGTACAGGGCATATGAAATTTGTCCTGTACCATGTGATCGCTGTATCCAATCACAAACATGACAATAAAAGTAAACACAGGCGGCCTGGGGCAGCCATCAGTTCTCTCTGCACACGAAGAGATCGTCTGTGCCAGTGAGTGTTACAAAGCTTGTCAGACTATGTCCCAGATCGATTCCCAACAGTATGTAGTGTGAATAAATTGCATCCACCTGTTACCTGTCCCAGTGTAATCAGTGCTGCAAGGAACGGTGTACCTAATCACTAGCGACCCCAGTCAGTGTCACCAGACCAGTGTTGCCTGCCAGTGTCCCTGACTGCAGTAATGCAATACCACTATACACCAGCACCATTGTTCTGATCAGGGCCTCACTAGTCTCAGTGGAACTGGTGTCCCTGATTGCAGTGATGCCAGACCACTCTACACTAGCAACAATGTCCTGAACACCACCACACCAGTGTCAACAGCAAAGCTTCACCAAAACCTGAATGGCATGTCCAAAAAAAGTTTACAAAAGCGAGGTGGCATTTCAGAATCTGAGCATGACAGATGAGTAGTGGGGAAATCTTTTATGTTGCTGAGCTCACCAGTGCATTCTTCTTTCCTCAGAATGTACCAAACTGTTGATTTGGACACTTTTAATGTTGCTGCTATCTCTCTGATGGATTTGTTTAGTTTTTGAAGCCTTACAATGGCCTGTCTCACTTGCATGGACAGCTCCTTTGAACGCATGATGTAGGTTCACAGCAATAGAGTCCAAATGCAAATACCGCACTTAGAATCAACTCCAGACCTTTTACCTGCTTAATTGATGAAGCAATAATGGAGTAGCCCACACCTGGCCATGAAACAGCTTTTGATTCAATTGTCCAATTACTTTTGGTTCCTTGAAAAAGGGAGGATGGCTACTCTTAAGAGCTGTAATTTCTAAACCCTTCCTCCAATTTGGATGTACATACCCTCAAATTAAACCTGAGAATGTGCACTTCCAGCCCACATCCATTATATAACTATAGCTTGAATATGTTTTTTGGTCCGTACCTGAAAAAGACTAAAATTGTGCCTGTGCCAGTTGGGGACCTAACTGTATGTGTATTTGGTTTGTCATACGGAAGGTGGATTCTAATATAATAATTTTGCCTGTATTTTCCTTATTGATTTACTGGTGGGGTTTTGTTTCAAAGCCTGGTTTTACATCATTTTTTTTTTTTTTTTTTTTTTTTGTTACGATTTGCTTAACTGGTGACTCCTTCCATTCTATTTGTTGAAACTTTGAGCTTTTCTTGTGATATTTATTATACATTTTTAAATGAAATGCTAAGGAAAGAGTATTGATCTTATATTCCTTATTAACCTACTGCTGTGTATACAGTAGTAGAAATGTAAAGTACCTTGCATTGCTATAAAGCCAACTATACCAGCCAGTCTTGCAGCAATATCTAAAGACTCTGTTTAAATATCCAAAAATCAAAAATGTTCCAGGGAAATGTAAAATGTTTTGATTATAAACCAAGTCTTTTTTTTCTCATTTAGAGAGAGATCGTAGGACTCTGTTTATTGCCCTCACCGTCATTAGTTTGGTTGGGACGGTCCTTTTTTTCCTTATTCGAACCCCAGCCTCTAACACAATCCAACTGAGCGAGGACGATGACGGAAGCTCTGACATTCTTGAAGGCAACGTGTGAGTGTATTATAATGTCCATTCTGTGCTTTACAAATAGTGTGGCTTTTAGAATACTTATGGAACAAATGTGACTATAATCTGGAAAGGTCTTTCATCTTCTAAATGACAGAGACCTTGAATTTTTGGAGGAATGATCCTCTTAAGTTTCTGGTAAATGATGAAAAATTATGCCACCTGACAATTATTTCTCTTGGGGACCCTATTGGTTAACACATCTGCCAAGACTGTTATAAAGGGTTAATTTTCTCACTGTTTGATCTCGATTTATGTTCTGGTATTTTTTCGGTCAGGCTCTAGGAGGAACACCTATAGCAAGGGCATCATTCAACTTTAGTCAAAGCTGCTTAGTTTGCTTTTATCTGCAGACTCCCCTTATCTGCATAGTCAGTTTTCCGGTAAAGGTTAACTAGTTATTTTAAAGCTGAAGTGTAGCATTCCTGTTTGGGATACATCACTAGGCACATTAGTTAAGTGCAATGATGCGTATCCCGTTACCTGTAGCCGTCTGCTTCTGGTAAAGGTGAACTAACCCCAGGGATGTTGAATTCCTATCTCACGACACCCGGGGCATGTAGTTCACACAGGGTGTTTTTGGTGCGGCGCAATTTAAAAAAAAAAGGGTCAGGGACGACTTTCCTAGCATTTCTGTGGGTAGGGCAGCTTTCTAAAATGAATGGGCTGCCCTACTCGCAGCCACACAGATGTGTACCAAGGGCTTGGTAACACGTGAGGTTGCAGGGTGATAAAACCATGTGGTTTAGGTTTTTACCACCCCAACTGCTCCCCCTTTAGCTGCAGTGGCAGCAGCTGCGGGTGTACACATTCTGTGGCCCCAGCTGGAAATACACCCCAGGTGAATAGGGCACTGCAACCACCCCACAACTGTGTGCATTGTATGTGGTTGTGGTGCGATGATGCTGCATTTACGGAGTTAAAACAGGTGATGAGGAGGCAAACATATTGCCTCTTTACCGCCTTTCAATTGCCTCTGAAAATTGATCTGAGCATGGATTGCTTTTCAGAGGAGTGGCAGTCCTTTCTGCTATTATGGACAGGCCCTAAAAAAACTAAAACTGTGCATCTAACATCCGCAGGCTGTCAGAAGCACCGGCGTTTACGGTGCTTATTTTTACTGTATTATAAATATAGAAAATGTGAACGCCAAATATTTATTTAATATGCCCCATAAGTGCCACTGTTTGCATTATTAAGTAGTTTTTTCAGCCTTTATTTTAGAGAACCTCAACCTTCTGTTGCAGCTGTTATGGTATGGCTGCTTGTTTTGTTTGAGTAATGAGTTTTGTTGACTAAAGGGGGCAGTCATGGACTGTAGATTGCATTCCATAATATTCTCTGCCTGTAAGAAGAAAAGGATACTGGTAACAGTTGCTTGCTATGAAACGTGCCTGTCATCCACCTCCTATTTCAATAGCAGTGGAAGTGGGAAAATATTTTAATCCTTAATCCTGAATGAAAATGATGCACTCTCCTGTGGATTATCTTGTATTTGAATTTTGTCTCCATAGTCACTGTCAGTATGCTGACTGCACTGTCTGATAAGCAGCCACTTGAGGGAGAGACTACAAACCAGCTTTTGAAATGCTTCCATGGAAATGTGGAAAAAAAAAAGTAGTTACTTGAGTACACACACTTTAAAGTCACAATGATTTAAAATGGCAAACTAAACTTTGCCTTAAGCAACTTTGCTGCTATTTTTAAAAAAGTAATTATTTGCACCCAAAGGACAGAAAATACTTAAAGTACAACTATAGGGCAAAACTTTTCTTTTTTTTTTTTCCATTTTGGATAGTGTAAGAGAGGGTTAAAACCCCTGTCAGATTTTTTTTTTTTTAATGGAGATTTCCCTTCACTTCCTGTCCCATAGACCAATAGGAAATCCCTGCAAATTAAGGGAATTGCTTGGGGACCCCCAGGCCACCAGATCTAGTGTCCTCCATTGGAAGATTTTTTTTCTTACTTTTCTGTGGGCGACTCAAAATGTGACATTTTTCTTTACTCTCACTTTCAGTGAGAATGGTAAACAGGTCAAACAAAGAGGGTGAATCTCCTTTAGCAGGGGCACGAACTGCAAAAAAAACCTGACAGATGTTCTAATCCCTCTCCACTCTGTCCAAAACTAAAAAAAGTTTTGCCTTTAGGTACACTTTAAAGTGGTAATTAACTCTGTAATATAATTTTCTTTTTAGGCCCCCCCTGGTGGGTTATGCCATAATATGCCAGTATGCACTGCATATTAGTACATTATGGCAGACTAGCTTATCAAATGGTGCCCTTGAGCATTGCAGTGGGATAGATCCAGCTTGCCCCCCAGTGTTTCCGTCATCGTCCGGTCTTCCCTCCAGGTTCCGTGCCTTTGGCCGTTTGAATGGCCAGGCTGTGATGACGTCACTCTCACTTGCAATTTTTGAAAAATTAAGTTTACTACACTTTTTTTTCAGTCTGCAGCCGCTGTAAAGAAAAATGCAATATGGCAACATGGTGGCCTTCTGTACACAGTTGGTGTACAGAACTTTCCCAGAAATGTAATTTCCTGCTTGTGTGATTGGCTCATTGATTTTCCTAGAAGTCTACACTAAGATGAAAGTCAAATCCTCTAAACCAGAAATAGTATTTTGGTGAAATACTCCTTAAGGGTTAGTTACTTCTAAAGGAAGGCAGATACTGCAACCTTCCTCATTAGGGCACAAGCCATGGCTCAAATTTTGACCAATTCAACAGAATGTGAATTCAATTAGAGCCATGTGTGGCTAGCAGAAATATCTAAATGTTGAAGCTTGGTCAGCGTTTCTGCTAGGCAACTAGCAGTTTCATTTGGAAAGCTCCGCATTCTCTGTGTGCAGCAGCTCCTCCTAATACTTACCTGAGACTCTTCTTGATCCAGTGATTTGCACGAGAGCCTCGGCTTCTCCAGGTCTCTCCCTTCTCACTGGCTGATACAGCAGCGGTAGCCATTGGCTCCTGCTACTGTCAATCACAGCCATTGAGCCAATGAGAAGAGAGCAGGGGCAGGTCTGAGCCGTGCTCCATTTGTGAATGGACACACAGAGCAGTTGCATGGGTGCACGCATAGCAAACTGTTTGCTATGGGGGCACTAGGCAGGAGAGAGGGGCCAGGAACCTGAGAAGGGGATGAATGGGGTTGCTCTGTACAAAACCACTGCACAGAGCAGGTAAGTATAACATGTTTGGTATTATTAAACAAAAAAAAAAAATCACTTAAATGTCACCTTAATATCACTTTAAGTTCTTACAGGCTACATTAAAAGGTTTGAAGTAGTTAAACGTCGGGGACAATTCAGGACAGATCTGTGCTTGTGGCTTGGATCAATATCTCTGTCTGTCTGCTTATGTCATTGTAGTACTCCTCTTCCCCTGACCCATAATCCTAGTTTATTAAATTCCTCTTCTAGTGTGACTTTTTTTTTTTTTTTTAAAGTCTGCCTTATTTTTATGAAACATTTTTAAGGAGTTTTCTAAAATATATATATATATATATATATATATATATATATATATATATATATATATATATATATATATATATAACCGAGAACAGCTTGATGTAATTACGCTTATCAATATATCAAAACACGGTTTCTGTGTATACATTATAATTATACAGTGCGTATAGAAAAGAATAATCCCCTTTAAAATAATCACGTTTTGTTTCTTTGCAGCCTGAAATTAATACAAACTGTTTTTGCTTTATCTGGCTAAAATTATTCAGTGAAACTTATAACATCCAAGTGAAAGATATAACACAACACATCACGAAAATAATTAAAATTACTGCATTGGAAAAAAGTATCTCCCCCCTCCAAAAAATGACTTGTAAACGCAATTAGGTGACGCTAATCACCTTCTCAATGGAACACAAAGCCATTTGTCTTTCAGCTGTGGTCAATTTGATTAGCTCAGCATGAAGAGCTTTCCTGAAGCATTTCAGTCCCTGGTAGTGCAACTGAAGTAAACAATCAACTGTGGATGGCAAAAGATCTCTGGGATAAAATTGTGGACAGGCACAAGTCAGGAGATTAATACAAAAAAACTCAAAGGCTTTATCAATGCCTAGAAGCACAGTGAGGTCTATCATTAAGAAGCGGAAGGTATTTGGTACAACACAGACCATCCCTGGATCAGGACGTCACTCCATACTATTGAGAGTCAGGAGAAAACTGGTCAGAGAGGCTGTCAAGAGGCCTACAGCAACTCTTAAGCAGTTGCAGGAATTTGGTCACTGTGTGCATATGACAACAATATCACAAATTCTCCACAAATGTGGCTTGTATGGGAGGGTTGCAATAAAAAAATCCACTCCTCAAGAAAGGCCACATGCAGTTACCACTGAGCTTTGCCAAAACGCACCTGGAAGATCCTGAGGTCACATGGAAAACGGTGTTATGGTCAGATGAGACTAAAATTTAATTATCTGGCCTCAACACTAAACCATGTGTCTGGCGGAAATCCAATACAGCTCCCATCCAAATAACACCATTTCTACAGTAAAGCATGGAGGCGGTAGGTGGGATAACCTTTTGGTGTAAGTGGCTCATCAGGAGGAAGGTTCATATTGGAGCAATGGACCTTTAGGAAACCAAAAGAAAGGGGTCACATTCCTAACTGTATTGAAGGTTCCTCCTTTTATATGATCGGGGCGTGATTTTTGGCCACTTTCCTTTTTAATTTGTAATATGAACACAGCCCTGTTTTACACTAGAGGGTGCCATGGTGGCTGTTTAGAGCTTTTTACTTGGTAGTTTTGGTGTCCCTGTAGAAAAGACCATCCGTTCCATAGTTTGTGGTGAAGATCCTGAGGAAGCGAATAGATTGTGAAACATGTTGATCAGTGACAATAAATATTTTATATATATATATATATATATATATATATATATATATATATATATATGTATATATATTACACACTGGAATGTAGAACTGCTGGAGTAATTCACTTTTCCAGTAACTCCCTATTC